CGTCGTAGTAGTAGTAGTAGTAGTAGTAGTAGTAGTAGTAGTAGTAGTAGTAGTAGTAGTAGTAGTAGTAGTAGTAGTAGTAGTAGTAGTAGTAGTAGTAGTAGTAGTAGTAGTAGTAGTAGTAGTAGTAGTAGTAGTAGTAGTAGTTGTAGTAGTAGTAGTAGTAGTGGTCGTAGGCGTTGTTTTAGTAGTAGTGTCGGTAGCAGGAACAGGAGGAGGATGAGGAAGAGGAGGAGGAGGAGGAGACCCGCGCGACGAGCGGAAAGAGGACGATGAGTCTGTGCACAGAGGGTGGCCTGGGCCGGCCAAAAAACAAATAGCAGCATACGCGTGGAATACAAAGTTGGCATGTGCGGAGGATCTTCGCCCGGCAGGCTCGCGGCAGCGGCAGGGACGCGGAGGCGATGTTGGACCAGCTGGAGCGCAGCGAGGTCCGTCACCGCCCGGCCCTCTTTCGGGAGGGGGGGCTCCAGTGCAGCCGCAGCGTGTCGATATGGATCGGTCCTCTTCTCCTCCTCCTCTTCTTCCTCTTTTTTCTTTTCCTCCTCCTCCTCCTCCCATCCTTCTTATAAATCATTCATGCCTTTCGTACCCCGAGGCCGGTCGACAGGGCGGGCCGGGCGTTTCGCCTGAGAAGCCCTCACCATGTATGATCCTGAAGCTTGATATTCGCAACAGTTTCACGGATGTGGCTCACGCTTTGGCGTTGCGCACATTCGTCCTTCTGCAAGAGTTTCACGGATGAAGGGCGGTCCGCTTTCAAAATTTGTTTTTGTCCTCAGCGCCGCGCACATTCGTTTTATAAATTCGCAAGGGTCTCACAGATGGAGGGCGATTCCTTTTCAAATTTTGGCTCTCGCCTTAGTGCCGACCACAGTCGTTTTAAGAGTTGACAGCAATTTCAAGGACTCGCATTGTTAACGTATCATAACTAGTATTTTGGCATCGTCTCGGAATGCCACGGCGCAACAGTTACGTTGATTCGCAGTGTCGAAGTCCCAGGAAGTATATTATGGCACGAGTCAAGATCGTCAATACCCCAGAATTGCGCCCTGTCAAGGTTCAAGGTTTTCAAACGGTCTTCCAACGCGGCATTTCCCTCAGTTCAATGCTTCCTTGTATGGGCCTATGAAGAGGAAACTTGGAGGCAGGGTTTATTGCAGTATCGTTGATGAGTTTTTTTTGTTGGTCCGCCTCCTCCTCCTCTTCCCTCCCCTTCTCCTCCTCGTTCTCCTCATCCTCCTTACCTCGATCCTGCCCTCCTTCCCCCTCCTGCTGCTGCTGCTGCTGCTCCTCCTCCTCCTCCTCCTCCTCCTCCTCCTCACGTGGGGTTTAGAAGGCTGGCTGACTGCGCTGACTGCGTTGGCGCGGAGGTTCGAAGATCGTGGTCTCGAGGGTTTGAGGACCAAGGGTTTTAGGATTTTCTTAGCCCCTCTCTGCGAGGCCGGGACTTGTGCAGTCAATGCGTTGAACTAGTGGCCAAATCGGGCTCGGGAGTGGCTCTGGTCGTCGGGCCGTTCTTTAGATTTGGGTCGGGGATCTTATTTGAAGCCGAGGCTCGCTGTGACCAGAAAAGCCCCTTCGTTCTTCATTCGTCGTTCCGTGTGTTTGCGCGAGGACTGTAACACGTCTGCCGCCTCGGGAGCCGATCTCCCAGGATCGCGGGATGCGGTGGATGCGGATGCGTTCGGCCCCCAGTGGGCTCGAGTCTGTCCACATCCACCGCCCCTGGCGTCCTGGGAGATCCATTCCCCCGGGCGGCGGCTCAGGGGGGCAGAGGGGAGGAGGAGGAGGAGGAGGAGGAGGAGGAGGAGGAGGAGGAGGAGGAGGAGGAGGAGGAGGAGGAGGAGGAGAGGAGGAGGAGGAGGAGGAGGAGGAGGAGGAGGAGGAGGAGGAGGAGGAGGAGGGGGAGGGGAGGGGGGGGGGAGGGGGGAGGGGGAGGAGGAGGAGGAGGAGGAGGAGGAGGAGGAGGAGGAGGAGGAGGAGGAGGAGGAGGCGGAGGAGGGCGGAGGAGGCGGAGGCGGAGGGGAGGCGAGGCGGAGGCAGAGGTGGAGGAGGAGGAGGAGGAGGAGGAGGAGGAGAGGAGGAGGAGGAGGAGGAAGAATAGCAATAATAATAAACATAAGCATAACACGAATAAACTGACTAATAAGAATAATGCTACGACTAATAATAATAATATGAATAATATACAATAATAAACAATCATAGTACGAATAAGACTAATCATACTCATGAGAATAATAATACTGGTAATAAGACGAATAATAATTCTAATACTATTAATACTAATAATAAGAAGCATACTACTAAGAATACTACTAATACTAATAAGCAGAGGAATACATAGGAATACTAATCACACTAAGAGCAATACTAACCAGAACACTAATACTAAGACGAATACGAATCATACTAATAATCATACGAATAACACGCATAAGGCTACGACTACGGATACACATACTAATCCGACGACGAAGAAGACTAAGACTACTAATCCCAATACGAAGAATACTACTAAACATAATAATACGACTAAGACGACTAATCCGACAAATACGAGGAGTAGTAGTAGTAGTAGTAGTAGTAGTAGTAGTAGTAGTAGTAGTAGTAGTAGTAGTAGTAGTAGTAGTAGTAGTAGTAGTAGTAGTAGTAGCAGTAGTAGTAGTAGTAGTAGTAGGTAGTATATGTAGTAGTCGTAGTAGTAGTAGTAGTCGTCGTCGTCGTCGTCGTCGTAGTAGT